ATATGAACCCAAAGGTTCCATTCTATTCTGAATTACATAAAGGATCAAGTATAAATGCGTGTATTATGTGTTAAGGGACAAAAGCGAATTTTCTTATAATGTTAAAATTACTAAACGTAACATTTCAAAAAAGCTCTTAGTGTATTTTTCTCAAACGTAACACTTCAATGTAACACTTTGAAAACGTAACATTCTAATGTAACACTAAAAATTTCTTACTGTACTTTTCTCAAACGTAACAATGTAACATTCCAAAAAAGCTCCGCAGTGTATTTTTTTTCCAAACGTAACATTCTCATCTATGTAACACATAAAAACTCTTTAGTGTATTTTTTCCAAACGTAATACTTCAATATAATATACTGAAAAACTCCTTAATATACTTTTTTCAAATATAACAACGTAATATTCTAAAAAAAAATCCTTAGGCCTCGTTTGGGAACATGCTATTTTAGTAACTTTTTGATTTTTTGGCTAAAATATGAGGTAAAAAAACTAGTATGTTTGGGATAACTTTTTGACTTTTTACGAAAAGATGTGCAAAAAGTAGAGAGTAACAGGAATCTTTGCCTTTTTGGTATAAGTTGTTGGCTTTTTGATTTTTTTAGTAACTTTTTGACTTTTAGGCTAAACAAGCTACTTGCCAAACGATGCCTTAGTATACTTTTTTCAAACATAGTACTCTAATGTAAGACCAGAAAACTATATTAACAGAAATGTAAATTTTCATACTCGACAATCAATACTTCAGCCACCAATTTCCCTAAAAAGAATCTTCCACACCTCACATTTCCATTCCCATCCCAAAAACCAATTAAGAAATTAGAAAAATGAATTACAAAATGACATTTATTTAAACTCAAATAGTACCAAATTATAAAATATAATTTTTCAAAATAAAAAGGACTAATTTGTTCATAAGAAAACTATACTAAATGGATTAATATCCATCATATGGGATTTATGGATAAATTTTTTAAAAGATATTTTAAAAAAAATAGTGATAATATAAAGCGATAAAAGCAAATCGTAAAAAATGAAAGGATAAAAAAAAAACATAAAAGAGAGGGAAGTGTAAAAATAAAAAAATAAAAAATAAATTTTTTGGTAAGAAGGGTATTTTAGTCCTTTTCAAGTAAAACAATTCTTTAATAAAATATATTTATTATCTTCACAATTTTTTTATAATACTGGAGGTTGTTTATATCATTAACAAAATCCTTCTAGCAATCACATCAACTTCAACAACTAAGATAAGTAATATTGCAGAATCTCATTAAACCACATAGGTAGATATCAATGATTAATGAAAAATTTAATTAACTTTTGTGTTCGTAACTTGATTTTGTTGATCAACATTTTTGAATTAATCAATTAGATTAATTTATTTAAATATTTTGGTACACTCTTACTCAGAAGGCCAGCGAGCCAATTTCTTTGCCAAAGGCAAAATTTATTTTCAATCGATAAGAGATTATTTCCTTACATCTAGGTAATCATAGTTAAGAGCCCTCATAATTCCCCCGGGGGGGGGGCTGGGGAAGAGTTTTGAAAAAATAATTACAAATAAATGATAAATAATTACAAATAAATGATAAATTTTATAAATATTAATAATTAAAATCATAATCTTTTCCATGATTTTAAAATTATTTTTGAAAATAAAAAAAAAAAAAAAAAAAAAAAGAGGACCAAACAATTTATAAGATCACTATTTAAAATTTATTGATATTTCACCCTACTTTTAATTATAAAAAAATAAAAATAAAAAATAAAAAGTTTGATTGATCTAATCTATAAAATAGTGATATATATATATATACTAGCGTATGCTCGTGCCTAAAGGCACGGTGTAAATAATATTAAGATAAAAAACAGTTATAAAAATATATTTAACAAACTGTACTCTACAATTCCAAACAAATCAAATATATAAAAATAAAATTAAATATCAAATAATGCACATCAGCCAGTGCTCTACAATTTAAAAGAAATTAAAATTAAAATGGAAACCAGTTAGTGCTACTGCTGCCAATCAAATCTCTAAGAGAAATTAGAATCGGTGAATCAAATCTATAGATGGTATGTAGCTTCACAACAAAATTCATCCTGTGACATCTGGTAACCACACAATTTAGGAAATATAACACACACACATCTATTCTATCATTGAACAAAATTGTTTTCATCTCCAAATGCACGATGCCTACTTTTTGTAGAGTATTGTTGTGTGATTACCAATTTTTACACCAAATTTATATATCATTTTGACGTGTAATCACATAATTAGTGCATCAGTAGACACCTTTCGTGCATTAAAATACACATATGCATGACATACAAGATGCCTCCTCAGATGATGGAGCCTAACTGTATAGGGATAACTTGAAAATGGAGCCTAATAGCAAGAGGAACAATACATTATTTAACTGTATAGTATAGAGAAAAATTGACATTTTTTTCACTATCATATTCCATATCAGTTTAGGTGTTTTCTTTTGTTTAACATTAATGATACATTATTTAAAAGAAATACAAATAAAACAAAAATGATTGCCTACAGAAAATATAAGGCACAATAAATATGGTAAATGGACCATCCCAAAACAATTGAGATTAATGAGTGATCAAAAATGTCCTAAATGTAGAACTGTTTCTAGAATTGGGTAATCATAATGTTCAAGATAATATTGTGCAACTGATTTAGCTACTTCTATTCGAATCAATCAGAGGGACAATGGGTTACGTTTGTCAGACCCACACTCAAATCAATCACATTTGAATCCCTAATACAAAGAAATTTTCAAGTGTTAATCCAACTAAGATCTATCAAATGCAGCAGTTGCAACAGTTGATCATTACATAGCCACACTACACGCCACAAAAGAAATTCAATACTAAAAAGAGTTAGAAAAAAGTATGGACCCTACCTTAGGCTGAAGATTGGTTATTGTGGACCTCAGCACAGTGATCTTCTTCATCTGGCAAATACCAGTGGGGGAATTGAACAAAAAGAGCGAAAAAACATAAGGAACATCCAATCTAAAGATGAAATACTTACCAAAAAAAATCTAAAGATGAAACAGAAGTTAACAGGTAACTTTCACTGGACATACCCTGAACAAAAGCAAGGGTATATAATATTTACTTACCAAATGTTGATCAGCAGATTTCTACTATATAGCACAAAGAATCCCAAAGATGATGTCAAATTTTTATCGAAGGAAAATAAATTACATACATAGTCAATAAAAAACTGAAACAAAGAATAGTACGGGATGTTGGTTGAAGAACAACTGCAGGAGGCATTGCAGTTGCTTTGATAGGCTGCATACTCCTAGCAATACATTTTCTGTATGGTTTGGACCAAATCATTCTGTGTTCAACACAATATAAGCAAACACTACTCAACTGCACAGAGAGGAAACAATGGATTACTCAACTGTAAAGAAGATGGCTTGCCAGGAACAATAGTACCAAAAATGCTTGATTGAAACTTTGCAGAATTCAGATTGCGATTGAAAGACGACACCTGAAACGAAATAAAACAATAATAATAACAACAATGAGAGCAATTTCCATGTCGCACATTGCAATCCATGAGTAGTGAAAACTAAATGACATAATGTGGAAACAAAATTAGAACAAAAATAAATAAATAAATAAAAATAAAAATAAAAAATACACATACAACAGAATTAAAAAAACAAAGAAAATTCTAAGCTTGAGAATTTAACTAGAAAAAAAATATATATATATATATTACCAACATCTCAATAAATAAACATTACCAACATCTCAATAAACATTACCAAAAAGGGATATGCTAGAATCAGGTCATGGTATTTGACAATAAATAAATAAATAAATTTATTTAAAAAATAAAAAATAAAGTGAGAAGTTTTCAATAACCTAATTGATGTTTCATGATTTTCAAAATAGGAAAAATCAGCTCATGAAATAAAATTAATTCTAACATATTTTAATTAAGGCAATATTAATGAGAAACAAATTGTATTGAAATCTACAGCATAAGAAACGTAAGGATTGAAATTTTAAAATGAAAATACAAATTGTAATTGAGAGAGACAGTTGAGATGAGATGAAATGAACATAGAGATGAGACTCAAACAGATGCTGTTGTTTCAAATTGTGAACTGAAATCAAAATAGAAGGAAAAAATGATAGGTATGACAGAAACAATATATTTTGTCCACAAAATCACATATTTTTTCACTCCACAAAATCTACAGGCATAAGAACATAAGTATTGAAAATTTTTAAATCAAAATAACAAAATTCTAATTGAAGAGATAATTAAGATGAGACGAAGTGAACATAGAGATGAGACTCCAACAGATGCTGTAGTTTCAATTTGTGAAACTGAAATCAAAATACAGAAGGAAAAAAATGATGAGGTATGGACAAAAAAAATATATTCTGTCCACAAATCACAGTTACAAATCAGTTAACAGACTACTTGATTATTAAACAAAGAATATTATATATATCTACCTGATTAAGTCTCCAGTGTGGTAAAGCACAACAGCTAACAGACTGTACGCACTCGCAGTCATACGATGATAGGGACCACAGATAGCTATCATCTTTGCCAATGCCTTCAGAATCAAGTAATACAAAAAATTGTGATTGATTTTTGTACCCGTTAAGAATAGAATTAAACAGTTTACTACAGACATGATGGCTTTGGTACCTTCGTCCCATAGTTGACAGCATCTTCTAGCTTTCCTTTATCGAGTGCCATCTTTGATGACTCCAACAAGGTTCGCCCATCTGCAGAAGAGCATCCTACATGCTGTGTAGCATATGGTTCAAACATCTTGGTTATTGCAAGGCACGTCACACTAAATTTAGATTGTAAAACTTTCAAATCAAATGCAATTTGTGTGAATGTGTGCAAGTGAGAGGGAGAGAGAAAGAGAAAGAAACCCTTACTTTACACACAGGAACAATGCCGATAATATCAGATTTCTTGAAAGGGCTTGGGCTTTCCATATCATAGTCTTTCGGAAGCAACTCCAATCCAACCTAGATATTTATAAAAAAAAAAAACAAAAAAAACAAACAAACAAACGAAAAAAGAAACATTAGAATCTCATTCTAATGAAACCATGACCGAAGGCAATAAAAGGAGATGGTACCTTGTGGCAAAGTCCTCGGAGAATTGTTAATTTCCTCAATTGTTGAAACTCATCTTTTAGAGTCCAGCCATATCTTTTAGCTAGAAAAGTTTGTAACCACTGCAATTTGAGCATGTGATCACCACTCAAGTTATGTTCACTATCTTCTATTGTGTAGCCCCCAAGCAAGAAATTCAAGCATGAAGCTACTGATGTGGGTAAGTCTGCCACATTATTAATAGAAGCAATAACGGCTTTAAGGACATGCTTGAAAGCTCGAGTGACCATCTCGTGAATACAAAGTGACTGTATATGAGGAAGCTTCTCTGCAAGTTCAACCTGGTTTTCATAATGCGATCAGAGCCAACAATAGTTAATGTCGTATTTTATTTAGATCAAATTTAAGCACTCCGCTGAAATTATGCTTCGTACAATCAAGTTACATAGATATTTAAGCACTCTAGCTTACATAGATATTTAACAATATTGATCAAGTTAGCAAGCACAATAATTTCCCTAAGAAATAAGATTTTCAGAAGCAACATTCCAGTCTCATATCATTTTGAGCTTTGTGGAGCGCTTGTGTATATGAGAGAGAGAGAGAGAGATTATCTTCTTACCACACAACCCAAAGAACACATTTGTAATCCTCTTAGATGCATGAAGTCAGTTAAAGTCCGTCCATCAACTGGGGAAAGTTCAAGCGATCCAAAGTCTGTTACCTAAAATCACATATTTTTCACTCCACAAAATCATATATTTTTTCAATATACCTTCTTTAATTTACTTGGGATTCTGAACCCATTTGGTATCATTTGCCATGTTTATTAATTAATTGGTTCACAAAAAAAGCAAAGTCCAATTGATTTCTAAAAAGCAAAGCAAAGCCCATTGCTTCCACCCAGTTTGGATTTGGACTCCCATAAATGCTACCATGTACAAAAAGAAATTCCAAAACATTTTTGTAGACCTATACTTTGTTCACTTAATAGGGATGCAATTTCTAAAATTTGCATTGATACACTTAATAGCCATCATCCCACAATTTCCCAGGATGAAAACAAATTAAGCATAAAAAAGAATCAGGGCCAAGCCCACTTTTAATCTGCAAAATTGCAAATTATTGGATTTAATTCTCAACTTGGCCAAGCCCCCAAGAAAATAAAAAGAAGAAATAAATGTGAAGAAATAAATGTTTGCAACCAACTAATGAGCAGTTCTCTGGGGGGGCTTGGCCAAGTTGAGATTTATTTTGGGGGCTTGGCCAAGTTGCAGCTATGGAGCAGTTCTATGTGAAGAAATAAATGTTTGCAACCAACTAATGAAAGCATATGTGAGGTACAGAGAGGTGCAATTTTGCAGATTCTTGGGGGCTTGGCCAAGTTGAGATTTATTTTGAGGATCCATAAAAAAAAATAAAAAGAAGTCAACGAACTCTAGATTTCAACTCTGTTGTAATCTCTAAAACCGAAACCGAAGCCTAAAACCGAAGCCTCAACTCTTATTGATACAAAAATTAGCCCTAAAACCGAAGCCATTAACTCTGATTAATACAAAAATTAGCCCTAAAACCGAAGCCTCAAAGAACTGAATAAATGTAAAATACCTCTGATGTTGGGAGGGTGGGAGCCGAGAGAGAGTGGGTGTCAATCAATGGCGACGGTGATGATGAGTAGCGGCGGTGGTGGTGAGCCCTGTTGAGACCACCGTCTCTGTTTGAATCAAATTGTTGGAAGATGTTTCTCTGATATGCTACCTCCGTTAGCCAGTTTCAAAAAAGAAAGAATTTCGAACATGAGAGAGAGATCATAGAGGGAGTTGAAGAGAGAATGTGAGAGATAACGTGTAGAGAGGGAGTTGAAGAGGTGTTTGGGCAGACGTGGGAGAGAGAAAGAGAGCAGAGAGTCTTTGGGCGGGAATAAAAGTGATCTCAACCGTTGGATAGTATATAGAAATCATCTCAACCATTAAATCAAAATGTATAGATAATATAATCTTCAAAAACAGTTTTGTTTTATTATATAGATAATATAATCTTATATAAGTGTCAGATGCTTATTTCTTCTATATCTAAATCTGAATCGATAATTTTATTATTATAAAAAATAATAATTAAATTTTTTTCTCTCTCAATTTATACATTTCTTAGAAAGATTCAAAATGAGAATTATATCTCCATATTCTCATTTCACCACTGCTATAATATAACTAAAAAAATGCAATTTTTTTTCTCTAAAATCACCCGATCTAAATGGGCTGTAAAGTAATTTGGCTTTTAAACCAGAAAACAAATTAAGAATTTCAGTTGAAGAGTGAAAAAGAACTTGTATAAATAAATAAATAAACAAAACAACCACCAAACTTTCTCCCAATTTATATATTTTTTCAAAAATTCAACATGAGAATTACATCTCCATTTCTGCTCATTTCACCGCTGTCATAAACTAAAAAAGATGCAATTTATTTTTTTATTTTTTTTCCAAAATCAACCGATCTAAATGGGCTGTAAAGTAATTTGGCTTTTAAACCACAAAATAATAATAATAATAATAATAAATAATAAATAAATAAAATTTAAAGGCCTTGTATAAAAAACAACCACTAAACTCCCTCAATTTAAATAATTTTTGAAAAGATTCAACATGAAAATTACATATCCATGCCTTCTCATTTCACCACTGTTACAAACTAAAAAAAAATGCAAATTTTTGTTTTCCAAAATCAACCGATCTAAATGGTCTGCAAACACATTCTTTGAAAGCCCTAAAATTCACCACAAAGACACAGAGAGAGCACAGAACCGTACCAAAGATCGTAGAAATGACTCAGTCGGAGTCAAAAATTGCCATTTTGATGTTGATCGGGCTTCGCTGGTGTTGCAGCAACGAATCTCCTACTCTTGGTACCTGCAAAGAGACTTGATATCAACACAAAAAAAATGGTGATGTAGAAAAGAAAGCTCTACTGAAATTTGTAAACACGTTTGATATGATATCAAAACAACACAGAGAAGAAAGAGAACGATCAAACCTAGATGAAGCCGGCGTCGTGAGAAACATGGGTGATGAAGGATTGGACGAAACCAATGCCGAAAAAACCGAGGAGGTAGATGAAGGAAGCGATAAGGGAGGCGATGGCAGCGAGTTCGGAGAGAGTGACGACGTGGAGAGGGATGGAGGATCGAATCTGATCGCGCTAACGATGGAGGAGGTAGTAAGCCATAGAGAAGAAAATGTCGTTGGTGAGAGAGAGGTAAGGCATTAGAGGCTTTTGGGAGGAGGAGGATGAAAGAGAATGTGTAGAGCATATGTGTTTTGACAGACGTGGGAGAGAGAGCAAGGAGTTGTTTGGGCGGGAGATCTATTGATCTGAACCATTGAGATAAATTTGGGATTAATCTCAGTCATTGGATCAAAATGTATCTCACATACATTTTATACATTTTCAAAAAGCCTCTTGCCTTATTATATATATATATATATATATATATGTGGTCATTAATAAAGCATAGGGTGTATGATGAATGAGTTAGAAAATTAGATAAAAAAAACTAATGTTTTAGATTTATTAATTTGTTAAAAATGTGATCTATCAAAGAAATGAAAATGGTATTTTGGTCCATTTACGGAAAAATATAAAGAGTATAGTTATTGCCTTCATAACTTTTTATAATAGTGGATACGGTTCATTAATGGAACGCCCGCAATTATTGTGTTGAGGTCCCATATATTAATGGATTTTTTAAATTTTAATCAGTTAATAAGTAGGTATGAGTCAGGCTTTATTATTTTAAAAAAAAATCATATCTCACTCGTAAAGTCAAATCTTATAGGCTAAAATCAAACTAGACCGAGTTACATATTTTTTATTAGACATATATTATTAAATTCTACACATTTATTTTTCTTTTTTAATAATTTATATGATCAAATTAATTAATACTATTAAAACAATTAAATTAAAGTATAAATTCACAAAATTAATAAATTATGACAATGACAATGTTATATGTTCAAAGTTGAGAGTTAAAAAGATATCACTGGTCATTGTCAAATTTAATTTCAACAAATTGTGTTTTGTGTATTTTTTTTTAAATACAATTTACAAAGATAATATGGGTTGCTAAATGTTTTTTTTTATAAATGAAACAGTATTGAATTTAACAATGTTATTTTTTTAGATTTATCCATGTAAGATTGTACAGACTGGATTCATGGACGGACTTGGGTGTCAAATCTTTATCCAAAATTCTAAATAATCTTCTATGGGATGAGCTGGACGGGACGGGACAGGTTATGGGACGGATTGAACGAGTTAAATAATACCGAATTATTTATAGACAGGCCATTTGATAACCCCTACTAGTGGAGACTGTTTATGTCATTAAATGCATTCTTAACCCTGGTTGGATTTGTTACAAACTTGTCACTATTTAATGTTAGATTTTGTTATGTCGAATGGTAATTTTCATCCTATCTATAAACAAAAACAAAAAAATTGTAATTTTATTATATTTATTAATTTAAAAATCCTCAATAATGCAAAGGATAGTGTAGACACTCCATTTTTGACCGTCCTCAAGACTTGGACGTCATCGTTTGAACACTCGATGATCATCCTTGTTCGTGTTCATCTTGAGTTCTCGGAGGTTTCGGCTACGCGTCTTGCCTCAAGACCTCTCGACTTGTTTGTTTTGTGGACCGTTTTGTGTCTGGTTTTGCACTAAACACTTGTGTTTTGCCTTGGAGGGGCAGGGAATGCCTTGTGAGGCATCCCCACACACCACCGGCAGTGGCTAGAGGCCACCGGCTGGTTTTTACTGCCATCGGCAATCTTTTCTGCCGGTCGGCACCTTTTGTTGCCGGTCGGCATTATGTTTGGTCGGCCGGCCACTGTTTTTGATCAATCGGCCACTTTTCCTGGCCGAGACCTTTTCTTGAGGGAGCTTGACCCTTTTGAACCTTTTTTAGCTTCTTAAGGAAGCTTGAACCTTTTTAGCTTCTCTAAGAAGCTTGACCTTTTTTTTAGCTTCTCCAAGAAGCTTGAACCTTTTGACCCTTTTTAGCTTCTCTAAGAAGCTTGACCCTTTTTTAGCTTCTCCAAGAAGCTTGATCTTTTTTTAGCTTCTCCAAGAAGCTTGACCCTTTTTTTAGCTTCTTGAAGAAGCTTGAACCCTTTGACCCCTTTGCCTAGCTTCTCTAAGAAGCTTGGCCCTTTTGCTCAAAGCTTCTAAGAGAAGCTTTACCCCCTTGGTTTCTCTATAAAAAGAGGGCCTCTCCTCCCCTTTAGAGGGTTAGAAAAATCTGATGTATAAGATATATATATCACTCTCTCTCTCTATATCTCCCTCTCTTTCTACATTTGGGTGGGTTAGAGGGTCCAAAAGGGTCTTGTTCTTGGCCTATTGCACACCACTTCATAGCCACACACTTCCATCATCACTTGGAGGTTCTTGGAGCTTGTTTTCAGAGGTTGAGGGTAGCATTTTTGGGTCTAAAGGCTACTGGTTCTTACTGGTTTTCAAAGGTAACCCCTTTTCCCTCTTTATTCCCCGTTTTTGCACACCCTTTTAGCCTGTCTTGCTTGCTGATTTGGGCTTTGTGTATAACATAAAAAAGTTCTTTTTTTTTTTGTGTGTTTAAGATACTTCATTACGGTCACTTTTGTGTTTGGGGTTGTTTACCCCCTCTTAGGCCTTGTTTGGCCCCATTTTGTGCTATTTTTGGTGAGCTCCGGGACCACCTTGTTTGGGCCTCCTCACCACTGAAATCTTGAGGGATTTCAGTGGTGAGGATGGTGGTTTAAGGTCCTAATAAGGAGAGGGCCATCCCCTCTCCTT